CAGAGGATACTCGTACTTGAGTAGATGCTCCGTTTATTTATTAAACAGTGTATTTGTTCATTTTCGTCTAACAGTCTGAATGTTCGAGAAAACTCACTCTCTTCGAAACTGCATCCCTCTAGGCAAATAGAGCTACAGTTAAATCTGAAACACACACACACACACACACACACACACACACACACACACACACACACACATATATATATATATATATATATATATATATATATATATATATATATATATATTATATATTACAGTAAGGTTCGCCTTGTACAAAGCCCGGGGACTCGGGGCAGAGGGTTACAATAAGGGGTAATTTATATGGATAGGAGCGGAAGAAAACAGTTGTATCTGGACGTGAACAAGTTAAGATTGTAGCGATCGTGGAAAAATCATCATGAGAGTCTCCGCAACAGAGCAGTTGTTCGAACGAAGAAGCTGTTTGAGTGGAACTTACTTCTCGCCGATGGAATACGGAGGAAATGTAGATGGTTTGTTACTATGTAAGTGGTATGGTGGGTCTTAGCAGTGAAGGTAAGACCAGGTGGAACCCGGAGATGCAGTTCGTCCGAGCACGTTCCATGGTAGTAGCGACAGAGCATTGAGATACTCGACACATCCCGCCTGTGACAGAGAGGTTGGAGTGTGGAAAATAATTCTCCCACAAGGACTACAAGACGCTGTTGAACTCTATCAAGCCTGGAAAAAAAGATCTGGGCTGCTCCTGTGCAAATATGGCAACAGTACTTCATTCTTGGCCTGAACTTGCTCTTATAAAGTTAGAGGATAGCATGGGGAGTCAGGATCTTACTGGGGCGGTACAGGGAGCCAATCATTTTACCTACACCTTTAGTGATGGATCGTATATAGGGATTCCACTTGAGATTGTGTGTGAGTTTGATATCCCCACCTTGAAGGGATATCAGCTCATCGTGACTGGCGATATTTCGGGGTCATATTATTGGTGATAGAATGTGACCAGTTTGATTTTAGATGCATTTAATGTAACTAGCCAGTTCTTTCTCCACTGGGAAGTTAGTGTTAGATCAGAAGAAATGTCAGCTGCCAATCTGTGATCATCAAGATTTTTAACGGTGCACCCGTATATCGTCGTGTCATCGGCTTAAACCTTTACAAATGATCGGAGTATATTCTTAAGTAGATCATTTATGTAAACCATAAAGAACTGAGGGACACCTGTGTTGACCGCCGGGGCCTCGGAAGACGAGCCGTTAATAACTACCTTCAGAGATCTAACTGTTAGGAAGGATTTTATAGTAAAGAAAACCCTTTCAGTGATTCTATAGCTGTAGAGCTTGTATAGCAAGCCCTTGTGCCACACTTTGTCAAAGGCCTTCGAGATATCTAATGATATGGTCTTTGCGGTATTTGTGTCGTCAAGGGCTTCACTAATTCTATGTGTAATGATAGGACATCAACAGTAGATCGGGCTGATCGAAACCCATACTGCTCGTCGCACAAGAGGTTGTTCCTCTCCAGGTGATCGACGGCCTTCTTGATGATTAAGGCCTAAAAAGATTACTGCTACTGAGGAGACTAATGGGTCCATACTAGGAGAGGGAGGACCGGTTGCTAATGTTTTTGAAGGCCATCCACATACGCTTGCCACATTCGTGGAAAAGATTTTTCCTTAAAGCAGCGGTTAAATAACTTTGCTAGAAGTGGGGATAATTCTAGGTTGATACGCTTAAGGATGACCACTGGAATTTTGTCCGGGCTAGTGTCTTTTTGGAAGTAGAGGTTTTTCAGAAGTTTAGCGACTTATCTTGCTGAAATGAGTATACTACTGAGATTGTTCTCAGTGAAACGTGAGAAGTTGGGGAGGGGATGACCTTTCTCATCGAAGCGGAGAGCTTCTCCTTGTCTGTCGAGGATAATATTACCCAGGTGGCATTTATTATAGTGGGCACATCCGCGTTGTCCTGTTCATAATTTGGTTGGTGATCTTCCAGAATCTAATTTATTTTCGATCTTGGGATCCAATTCGTATCTTTTTAATTTTGCTGATTTTAGTAATGTTGTCCTCTAAATGGATTCAATTCTTCTTGGGATTTTAGCAAAACCCTTCAGGACTGTTATGGTCAGAACTCTCATTTCCATATTCAACAAATTTCCCAGTTTTCTTGCAAGATGTATCTTTTTAATACATCCAGTTCAAGACCCAAGAGCCATTCAAGGTAGAGAGATATTAAATGATGTTACTGTTATGGCGTAAAATGGAGGAGGGGAGTAAGAGATGCCTATTATGAGGATATGTCGGATAAGTAACGGTTGGCCCTAGACTTGGAAAGGTTAAGAATAAAGTAATTGGGGAAGCATCCTTTCTTGTGTCTGTTCCGCAATGTATCAATTCTAGGGAAGAAGATGACTAAGCGGAACTTCTTCCATATCAAGGGAAGACGAAGGGATGAATATGAGTCGATACAGGATACGTGGCCTTGTGGGTCCTATCGGTGAAGCGGTGGAACTAAGAAATTTTGTCAGATTGAAAATAGCGGTAGAATAGCGAGAGTCTGTCAAAATTTTGTTTGTTGGAAAAAAGGGTAGTAAGGTGGAAGACAATCACGCATAAAAGACGTGTAAACGCTTCTCGGGACTGGAAATGAGAATTGGCGGCTCCAACCCAGATGCAGCGTCAATATTCCGATTTGACTCTTGTGGCGTTGCAGCTCTGACACCAGGTTCGTTCTCAGGGTGCAGCTTCTTCCAATAAAACGCTTGTAACTTAAAAATAGTCCTTCGGCCAAAACGTTATCCACGAATACAGACCATAAGCCGATTGTAGCAGTAAGTAGATTTTTATTCACTAGTTGTAACCTGCTTCTATAGACAAACAGAGCCGAGATGAAGCGTAGGTGAGTGCGTAGGTGAACAGTCTAACGGGTGTCTTCCCTTTCACGCCGTGCTCCGTGGGCTCTGTCGGTCTCTCTGATTTCTCACGGGAAGTATTATAGAGAATACTTTTTTTTTGTCTTGCCATCTTTGTTTTAAAAAAGGCATTTATCTTCATTCACTGACGTTTTTTGTCCCAGCCGCTTGCTCCGTATTTGTGAAATCCATTTCACTTACTGATAACCATCTGGAAAAATAAATGCCCGAATCCGTTTTTTTGACAGTTTAGCTGTTTTCCATTTAATAAGATAGCTAACTAATATCGCTACACTCTGAGGCTATTCATATTCTTTCAGTTTTAATCCGTTGTCAACACCATTGACTTTCTAACATACGGTAGCATGTGACTTATCTCTGGTGATAATAGATTAGTCCTTGCTATTATATTGACGTCAAATAAGCCAGATGCATAAGCGTGTTGACCTGAGAGATGAACTTATAGTCACCTAGTGTAGATCTGAGTCCCGCAGGATGTCACTAGCTGAACTCCAGAAATAAACACGTGATCAACCCACCTGCACCCAGAATGTACACACGCGGAAAAAATCATATAACAGACAGATATATAAACACCTACTCTAGAGTGAAAGAGGAGAGTTTCATATATCTTCCCGATAATGTAGAGCCCTGTTCGGAGAAGTCTCCAAATCCGCGCATATATACCGACCGACGGTGATTGATGAATCTGGATTGAAATAAAACAGTAATGCTATTATATTTGGTCCAATCTCGTATGTTCATTAATAATATGCAAGGTTAATATTACAATAATTAGTTCTGTTTGTTAACAAGGATTAAGCTTCGACCTCTAACCTGCATTTGAGTTTAAAATTTCAAGAAAATGCCATGATTTTTATTATCTAATATAGATACTATTTTGTGCGTAAACTATTGATCATATATCAGTTATTTGCACAGATCTTATGGGATCACCTTTCCTACCCAGTCATGCCTATCTTTTGTACTTCTTTTGAGTCAAATGACTACATTCTTGCATTAAATGACTGAAAGTTTCATCTACGAGTTATATCTGAGAAATAACGGGCCTTATCCGTTCTTCGATGTGAGAGGCAGAGAGTTTTAGCCACAGGGCCAGACGCTCAATGAGAAAGTCTACAAAGAGATCCTGCGGTATTTGATTCTCTCAGTGCACTAGAAGAGACGAGAGTTGTGGCAGGACAATTCGTGGCTGCTTCACCACGACAATACACCTGCTCACAACGCCTTGAGCATCCGACAGTTCCTGGCCGAGAAAAACATCACCGTAATGGAACATCCTACCTATTCACCTGATCTTGCTCTATATGACTTTTTCTGTTCCCCAAGCTCAAGTGGATCATCAAGAGGACCAGTTTTGAAGGCGTGGTGGCTACCAAAAGGGACATCTAAGAAGTGTCTTTCCAGCAGTACATAGAAGCATGACAGAGAAGGATGGAAAAGTGTATTAGACTCGAGGGGGTACTTTGAAGAGGGAACAATGAAGTTTGTTGTTTGGAATTGAGATATTTTTTTGTAACTTCAGTCCAGTTACTTTTCAAACATACTTCGTATAACCTCCTTTTTTATTATTTTGCTTCGTCCTATTTGTCTTGGGCTTAATATATCACTAGCATATTACCCATCAAAAATTATTTACGCAATTCGAACTTCTGCCCAAGGTCAGAGAATTGGTGTTCTCTGCATAGAATCAAATCATCGCTTTCTGGTGTAGCATGCCAGATAAATCCCCTCCAGGTATATATCCGGATATTGCTTAGCCTTGTCTAAAATAGCCCCTCTTCCTCATTACTTATATTAATTTATGCGGTAAAGTGGGATTTATACAGACATTCTAACTTGATATATCGAGAATAGTTAATCTAAAGCGACGTGAATCATTAGGACAACATAAAAATGATTAAATTGTACTACATTGTGTTGTAAGTATTTTGTATTTAAAGTTTAGTTAACACTAGTTGTGATTAATGATTAATATAAGACTGTAAGCAGGGGCGGCGCTCGAGGCTGCAGGTATGGCTAATGCGGCCCTATATATGCCCTGGGTTTGACATGCCTTCATCACACCACACGCACATTCAAGTTTACAGCACCTGGTATTCCCAAGCGGTCACCCTTCTAGGTACTGATCGGGATCGACGTGGCTTAACTTCGGTGATCGTACGCGAACAAGTGTTTGAACATGATGTGGACGTGAGCCTATCTTATAAGGAAACGGCTAATGTTACCATTATCATTACTAACAATAATGTCAGTTATACACTGATTTCTTATTAATTTTTTATTCTTTTGATATTTGCTAAACCTTTCACACTCCTCCTCCTCCTCATCGTCATCATCACCATCATTACCACCACCACTACAACTACCATCATCATCATCATAATCGTCGATATTAACATCATTCCTGGAAGTAGTTTATTTGCAGTTGTGCGGAAAATTTTTTCTCTCTATTTCCTTGAAAAATGTCTATCAAATTCTTTATTTGATGCGTGGTTTTCGAACAATACAGAAAATGTTTTTCCTTTATATTTAGCATGTGGTGATTTTAATTTTCATCATTAGCCAAATAGCTTTGTGAATACCTTTCTCAAGTAGCTACAAAAAGTGTTTGATTTTAGTTACATCGGTTTGAATGGCAAGTCACGTTATTGGTTTACTCAGCAAAGCAATGAAGCGAATAAGACGCAAGTTGGTGGGTGGTTACTGAGTGTTAGAGAAAAAGTAAACATTATTTTAGGAGAGAGAAAAAAAAAAGAACAGTGAAACAAAAGATAACGATTGATAATAAATTTAAATTTAAATCTTTTAAATCTTACAAATTATTTTTTTAATATTAGGCTTTCAATTCGATTTTTTAAAAGAAATGGTTTATTCTTTTTTCCTTATTAGATTATTGTATAAAAAACACACAAGACAATATATGACAAGAAAATTAAGAACAAATGATATATCTATATTATTTTAGCTACAATGCTCCACAGTACGAACAGAGTGTTAAGGAATATATATTTTTTTATGATTTGGAAATACAGTTTAGAGAGAGAGAGAGAGAGAGAGAGAGAGAGGAGAGAGAGAGGGAGAGAGAGAGAGGGGACTTGTATAGATAAATGACCTTTTCATTCAAAAACACGTTCAAAAGTCAACGATGATATGCTTGTAGAAGTTAATAACTTAATAGCTTAATTGACTGGAAAAAAAGAGGAGCAATGATGGCCAAGATAATGTTTTGTCTGCATTAATAGTGTCTAATGTTTTAGTCACTGTTATAATCGCGAATCAACATTAATGATGACGGGAAACAACACGAAGCCGGTCATTCGGAGGGTGTCAAACAGATTTTGGTAACTGATAAGAACAGAACAGTTATTTATGATATTTTTTAGACAATAGCAAATGGAGAATTATAGCAGAACAAAGACGCTGCTGAGTAAAGATTCTCACAGTTGGAAACGCCTATTAAAGATAATAACATATATAATGTCCACAAACTTAATGATTCATTGCAATATCGCAATATAAAATTCTGCTTGACTGACGACAGAAAATGCACGACACACATGCATACACATATAGACACACACAAACGTATATATTTTAACGCATCCGAAACAAAACAACTTTCATTTAATCACCACAGAGAACCTCTTCTGTCTCTCATCAGCATGTTTTTTTTTTCAAAGTGCCATGGGTGGTACATACTTAGGCGATCATGTATCTTTTTGATACATGACTAACGAGGCAGATTTTTTCCGCAGTAGGTTGCCATTTCTTTCTGCGGTAGACCAGTTGCCATCCGAGGCTATAGAACCCGATCTGTCTTGCTATTTACCCATCACTGGGGGAAGAAAATTTGGTTTGGTTTGTTTTGTTTTACGGCACATAAACCTCAATGGGTTATTTAATGCCGACAAAATTTTTATTGCTGGTAATATTTTGTTTTGTCAAAAATCTATTTCTGGTAATATTTTTTCCTTCAAAAATCTATTTCTGTTAATATTTATTCCTTCAAAAATCTATTTCTGGTAATTTTTTACTTCAAAAACGTATCGCGGGTAATAATGTTTTTCAAAAAAGTATTGCTGGTAATATTTTTTCCTAAAAAATCTATAGCTGGTAATATTTTTTTTCAAATATGTATTGCTAGTAATATTTTTTTTTCCAAAACATATTGCTGGTAATATTTTTTTTTTTAAAAATGTATAGTTGGTAATAGATTTTTTTCTTCAAAAATTTATTGCTGGTAAAAAATTTTTTCAAAGTATTTCTGGTATTAAAACCTATTTTTACACTTTCATAGTATTTTTACCCCAGTTTTGGGGTTAACTATTTACCCATAGCTGGGAACCTAACATGTGGACCTGGGAACAATAGCAATTAAGGGGTGGTTCTACGCTCCTCAAAACCTCTTGATCAGAGGCCTTGCTGCTGGATATAGTTTATTGTCTTGCCAAGGACGCGGATGTAGTTTATCGTCATACCCAGGACGGTGGGAGAAGAAGAGGCTTCATACCTTTCCTAAGGGTATTAACACGTAAGTGAATGTAATGGATTCTGTTGCTAAACTCCAGGAAAGTAACACTTTGCGCTCACTTTGATCTCACGCTTTCTATTGACATGAAGTGGAGTGATTATATTAAATCAATTACAAGCTCTACTGTTAGGAAAGTTGGTTCAATGCGTCATAAATCTTTCTCGTCAGAATCCATCTTGTACATTTATAAATCTACCATTCGTTCTTACATTGAATGCTGCTGCCATATTTGGTTTGGTGCTCCTGCTATGTAGCGATTTTCTAATGTGGCACAAGGCCGAAAGTATGTGGTACCCAGTGAGGATCGAACTCACTACTCATTCGTAATTGTGCTAGTGAGACAAGCTTGCTAACCATCACACCGCCTCGGGGTGCCCCAGTGCTCCTCCTGCTATATATCTCGAGATTTTTGACAAAATTCAAAGAAGTATCTCTGATGTATTCGATTTCAGTTACATTCCCAAGGACTTGACATGGCTTTCCCTTGTCTTTTCTAAATATATTTTCATGAAAACTGTTCTGATAAGCTTTTCTCCTTAGTACCTCGACTACATGAACTTAAGCGTGTTACTAGATTGGCGACGAGTCCTCACCGTTTTGCTGTTGAACTAACAAGATGTAACCGTAGGTTCTATTCTAATAGATTGTTTTTCTCACACATCTCGCCTGTGGAACTCCCCTCTGATTTCTTGCTTCCCTACCAAGTACAATCTTCAAAGTTTAGATGCAATATCAACCGCTATCTTCCTCAAACATGTCCCTTTACTTTCATCAGATATCGTAACTTCACCCATTATGTTGGTTTTTAAAGTATCGCGTCTTCACGTGGCTTAGGGATATTATATTTCTTCTTATTCCAAACGTTATTTTTACTGTATACACCATGTTTTAGTAGATTCCCTATTTTATTTGTGAAAATGTGAATTAAGTCCATCGGCGTGCGATTTAATAAAATGTATATGATCTCCGGCTGTATTGAAACCCGCATCTTCCTTTGTATGGGAAATCACTGTCTCGTAGGAGAGCTTTAGACGATTCGGCCATAGAGAGTATGTCGAATTGGACAGTGATTTCCTCTCTACAAAGTGGGTCGTTGGTGTGAAACATTCCGGAGAACATGCTTTATTTATTTCTGGGAGACATAATTCACACTGTTCAAGTAAAATGAATGATGTCTACTCAAACATGTGTATCCATTAAAAATAACGTTTAGAGGATGAGAAATAATGTCAGATTAAAAATAATATATATATATATATATATATATATATATATATATATATATATATATATAGAGAGAGAGAGAGAGAGAGAGAGAGTTTATGCAAATTTAGGTAATCCGTATGGGTAGACCTGAGGAGGATGATATCCAGAGAGCTCAATGTGAAATTCAGAGCAGATATGTTTGAATAAAAGACAGACCACGTTAAGATTCCATGTAATAAGCTATTTCACCATAACCCCTTTAACAGGGTTCTGGATCATCAGACTTTACTCCCAAAGGCTGAAATGAAAAAAACAAAAACAAAAAAAACCCCAAAAAAACATATATATATATATATATATATATATGTAGACTTCTAGTTCCAAACACAGCCACTTACTGGAACTAGAAGTCTTACGGCCATATAACGTTGAAACAGCGGTGATTGCTCTACTATAAGTGAAGTTAAGCAACGTCGATACTGGTAAGTAACTAGATGGGCTACTGTTTGGGTGTGCGCGTGGTGTAATGGAAAGTGACTCTAAATGGCTAATCGGAATGCGGAGTTCCAATTTCAGTTGGGTTTGTTATATTCACTTATGCCTTTGGGAAAGGTATGAATCCACCTCTTCTCTAAAAAATAGTTCTTACAATTTGAAATGTTTTCTCTCTTTAAATCCCCTGCTAATGGTCGATTAACCGTAGAAAATGAATCAATCAAACCAATCAAATAGAAACTAAAACGAGTAAAGTCGTTAAAGAGCATCCAATAACACATACATACATACATACATACATACATACATACATACATCTATCTATCTATCTATCTATCTATCTATCTATCTATCTATCTATCTATCTATCTATATCTATATATATATATATATATATATATATATATATATATATAAAGAGAGAGAGAGAGAGATAGAGAGGGAGGGAGAGAGAGAGAGAGAGAGAGAGAAGACATTCATTGTGAGAGAGAGTTAAACGCAGAGTAAGAATGCGTGAGTATAGAAAAGGGTGTGGTGAAATCCTTTCGGTGCGACCAAGAAGACAACAGAAATTTTGATGTTTGTCATTTGGTTGAGCTGAGAACATGTGTACTTAACCTGGATCTAAAGTATAATACGAAGCATGGTTGAAAGCACCCGCTGAATAACATTCGGACAATATCTACACTCAATGAACCCTAACTCTTGCTCTATTGTACGTAAAAAAAAAAAAGAATCATTGCCCTTCGTTTTTAATAAAACATATATCAATGAAAAAGTGATGCTGAAACAGATGTTGTAGATAATATCCTTATTTCTTAATATATTAACTTTAGGTAGCTAACAAAACAAAAAAAAAAGAAGAGAAAACGTGATATTTAAGCTAAAAATGATTTAAAAAATGAAAAATCTCTCTTGAAGCTTTTATTTTAGTTTAAATTGCAAGCTAATAGTTTAA